TTAGCTCCTCGCTAAGTGCCCAAATCATGTATCCCCTCTGGCTTGGTGTGCGCACACGCTGCCCCACCGAGCTGTGCAGACACCGCCCCCTATTAGCCTGCGGGCCGCTCTGCAGCTGTTGTAACCTGCGGCCCGAACACCGCAGACAACAACCTCCTGGTCACGTGATCTAGACCGGCCCGGCCCGGCCCGGCCCGGCCTGCAAGCTACGCTCTGCGCAGTCGCCCCTTTCTCTATGGTGCGGGTGGAGGCGGCGCTTCCGCTCGGAGCCGGATGTTGGCGGGTTTCTCTTGCGAGCGGTTTCTTGGTTCTTCTCAGCTCTGAGATTCTTCGGACCCCGGCCCAGCTGTCATCTCCTTCTGCGTGTCCTGTCCCCCTTCCGCGCTAGGCCCCGCTCCCGCCCGTCCTGTTTTCCCGTGTCCGCCACTTCCTCCGCGGCGCTCACTTGCGAGTCGGCCCCGGCCGTTGGTGACAGGTGAGTGCGGGGGCCTCGGTTCCCCTCTCCCCGATCCTCCGCCATTTTCCCGCCCGAGGCGGCTGCCCCCGGAGTGGGGACGGGCGAGGCGGCCGGTGGGGGAGAATTTCAGAGCAGTTCGTACCCTCCCCCGCGGCTTCCTTTCCCCGGGACATCCTCCCTTCTCTCCCCGAGGGGTGGGGCCCTCGCCGTTCCTCTGCGGCTGTGGGCACAGCCGCCTCCTTTCTCCCCTCGCGGGTGGGTGACGGTGGGGAGGGGTCTGAGCGGGTCCTGGCTGTGGGTGAGGGGCGCGAGAGCGCTCCGTAGCGGGGTGGAGGGGATGTCACTGGGGGGCACAGCTAAGGCGGTACAGGTGATCTGAGCCATGGGTGAGGGACGTTGCCAGGGCCCCAAATGCTGTGACGATTGGGGTTTTAGACAGGTTGAGGATGGGCCCTGGCCGTGCCCTGTGAGCTCTTTACTGTCCGGGGCTATTTGATTTTACAGTTGTTGCCCTGAGCTGCAGCAGAAATAACCTCCCCATTTCCCCTTGCTCAGGGCTGAGTGCTGATCACATGCCCAGTACGTGAGGAACAAGCTGTGTTGAAGAATTTCCGTTATTATATTTTATCTGTTAAATGACGTTACAGACTCCACATGCACAGCACAAGTCAAATGCTGCCACTGCTCAGTTAGCATACAGTACAGCAGTGTCATCAGGAAAAAGTTTATGGACCCAGGCAAATCATTACTCTTCGGAAAATGACATAAAGATATTTATAATTAGGCTTTTAAAGCTTCACCAGCTATGTTTCTCCCTCTTTCTCTGGAGTGGTCCCTTTGGAAATGAATTTCCAGGAGTTATCAGCATGTTTACAATGTTAAGTGAAAGGAAAGGTGTTTCATTTCCTTCCTAAAATTGGGAAATAAAAAAGCTTTATACAAAGACTAGAATAAGTGTTGTGTTTCAGGAATTAATGCAGGTATTGTATCCCTAATTGTTGTGTTTGTGGCAAAAACTTTTACATGTCTTATCTTTGACAAATTGGAAATGCTGTGAAATTCAAAAGTAGACACTTAATGTAGTCATCGTTTTAATACGTCCATGGAAGGTTTATCTAATGAACTGGCATAGCTCCTTTGAATTTATTTCAACTCCACTGAGTAAACCTTTCAGGGAAACACAAATGTGTGGTGTTAAAAATATTCCTTCATTACAGCAAAATCTCACTTCATTTATATATAACAAGTAGGTTTAGGAAAAATGAGTACCTCTTACTATGTTTGCATGATAAAAACTTGGTTTCATCAGTAACATACTTAGTTTTAGGAAGCTTCCAAACTGCACTCTCTTTTCTGTTGTTTTGTGTGCTCTTCTACAGTTTGGTTAGGTAAATGCATCATGCTAGGAAAGGCTTGTGTACAAACTGGAACCAAATTAACTAAATCAATTTTAATTCACAACTTTAAAGTTGTTTCAATGCAAGTCTGTGTGAAGTCTTATTTCAAATAGTGTCCCATTCTAATTTAATTTAAATTGTTCTTTTCCCAATTTAAATTAAACTGAAATAGGAAACTCTTAATCTGAAATAAGTATCCATATGTAGATTTGCACTAAAACCGGGGATTAAAACTGATTTAGTTACTCTGGTTCCAGTTTGAGTATAGACCAGCCCTTTGTGTCTTAACAAACATTAAATGTAACTTTGTCCTTGATGTGGATGAGGACAGGTTTAAAAATATGTTAGCTGGTTGTAGTTAACCCTAGAGATTAGTGTTAACCATGACCAGCTAATGTGTTCTTAAAGATCACTTGTCCATGTCTACACTAGTTACTAAATTATCTATCATGTTCAGTAAAACATATTAGTACTGTCTAATATAATGTACTTTTCCAGTGGAGCTGTGGCCTAATGCTGCACTTCATTTTAAAACTTAGTTTGCTTAAATAGATTGTGTGTACTGAAACTGTTTTCTCGAACATGGGATGAAGTGGTTAGTTTGGAACAGAATACTTTATTCACATGGTAATACTTGCATAGCTTGCCAAAGTGTAAAAATGACAGAATCCTAGGATTGTTGTAATAATATAGAAATATTCTGTTCATCGGTAGATCTCAAAGTGCTTTGTAAAGGAGGTAAGTGTCAGATGGGAAAATGAGGCACAGAGAGGTATATTGACTTGTTCAAGGTCTCCCAGCAAGTCAATGGCAGAGCTGGGAGTAGCCCCAGTAAGGTGCTCTATCCACTAGGCCATCTTCTCAAGCATTTGTCAGGAGAGACTCACAGTATGCTAGGGGTTCTTCCAGGAACCATTGGTCATTGTTGTCTATTCCTGATTCATTGACAGATGCTACATTATGTGGCGTTGAGTCTACAGTCTTTTCATAATTTAAAGAGCAGTGCTCAGTTTGGATGTTCTCTGGGTTATGTTTGACCAGTTTTAGAGTTTCACTTAATGTTTGAAGTTGGGAGGATTGGGCATTGCAGTGTTTGTGTGTGCCATTTGAATAATGTTTGAGTTTTTGTGATGCATAGTGGATATGTTAGAGCGCTTACAAATGCTTTGAGACAAGGTGTTGTATAAATGTTGGATTATTCTTGCTAGTACTTGAGTGAGTTTACTGAGAAGTATTAACCCTTGGAGAGTCCTTGCTATGTGTTTTTTGTTAACTCTTTAACCAATAAAGCACAGTAATCCAATAGCCAAGTAATGTACATAAGAGGTTTATTGCTGTTAGAGATTAGTCTATTTAAAAAAAAAAATCTTAATAGCATAATAGCAATTTAGCTACTGAGGGTTTTCAACACCCAGATACACCTCTGCCTCGATATAACGCTGTCCTCGGGAGCCAAAAAATCTTACCGCATTATAGGTGAAACCACGTTATATCAAACTTGCTTTAATCCACCGGAGTGCGCAGCCCTGCCCCCCGCGGAGCACTGCTTTACCGCATTATATCCGAATTCGTGTTATATCGGGTCGCGTTATATTGGGTTAGAGGTGTACTGTTTATCCAGTACTTAACACAGTGAGGTCCTGGCCCATGAATGAGATGCCTAAGTTCTACCCAATAAGAATAATAACTCCTCAAATACTCATAGCCTTTGTATTCACCTGGATTCCTCATTGCTGCTTGATGATCAAATAGCTGTAGCCATAAAAAAAAGAAGCCCTTTTCCGTTTGATTTACAAGAAGACTGCACCCTACTGTTAGATTTGCATTGTGATGCATGAATTTGAGACATCCAGAATTGTTTGGAGGGAGGTAGTTTGTATCTTTCTAAGAAATTAAAATCTGTTGAAATAGCATGGAGGCCACTTAAACATATCTTACTGGAATATCAGTAACAATTCACTGAAGAAATGTTGTTCCTTCAAAACTCTTGGATAAAGCTATGAGGTCACTGTGAAAATGTCATTAATATGAACTAGTGTGCTGTTGGATAGCCAGTGTTGTACCTAGAGAGGTGAGCTTTATTTCCAGGGCTTTGGAGCGGAGCCCGGAGCTGGAGCGCGGAGCAGCAGGTTTTTGCCTGGAGCTGGAGCGGAGCCGGAGCACAGCGCCAAAGCCCTATATTCTGTCAGTTAAATTGAAGCAATAAAGATGTGCTATGAATTTGTCTACTGGGTAGATTTAGAGATTTGTCCACCTTCAGTATATCAAAATTTTACATTTTCTAGGTCTAGCTGTTGTCAGAGGCTAGATATTGCACTGTGAGACCGTATTTTTTTTTAAAAAAAGCCTTCAACACTTCTGTATTGCTATTCCAGGTGAAAAATAATCCCTTGAGAGAGAATAAATTCATACATTTAAAAGGATGGTGTCACTTTGCTTTACAGTGGGAGGCACTGAGTTGGTATCATGTCAGGTAGAGCATTAGACTGAATCTCAGGAGACCTACATTCAATTCCTAGCGCAGTCATAGACTTGCTGTGTGTGAGACCTTGGGCAAATAATTTAATCTACCGTTTGTGTCAGTTCTCTATCTATGAAATAGGGATAAGAAGTCCTTGCCTTCCATATAATTATGAAGCACTTGGATACTATGATGATGAGATCCACATAATTGTTATTGGATGATAAATATATGCTTCAGATTTCAGATAGGCTAATGAAAGTTGGAGCCCTGAGATGGGTCTGGGGCAGTATTTACTGCCTCTTCAGCACATGGGAGTGGGGTCTGGGCTTTTCACCAGTACATTGCACTTCACGGGTGGGTTCTCTTCCTGTCTTTCACATTGGCCTTTGTCTAGTTGGCTGAGTCCTCTGGCTAGTAGCTGCCTAGTTAACTTTTCAAGCCATGGCATTTATAAAATTTATAACAGAGTCATTTGTCAGCTGGCCTAATGGGAAGTTCACAGTTACCATTCCTGGAGAGGTTCCTTTCTCCTTTATGACCCTTCTAAAAGTAACCGAATGCTGAAAAAATGTAGTAGGTTGATATAGCAAGTAAATATGTTGTCACAATAGCTACTGAGAGTTTACACTATCACTGTCAGGGTTTTAAAGAAAACTGCAATGTTAGTTATGCCATAATTAAATGTATGTATTGTGTATGTAATGTTGAAATTGTCATTGCCTGCATTGCAGTCTATAATTTTGTTTTCTAAATTATAATATGCTACAATGTATGTTGAAACTAAATTAGTCTTGTAATAAGTGTCAAGTAGATTAAATATTTGATCACCCTTACAATGATTATCCTTAGCTTTAGCATTGCTACTATGATATCTGATATGGCATAATGTTTAAATGTGTATTTATTTAGAAGAAACAACTATTCTTTTATCCTAAAAAGCCAGTTGGCCTGACTTTCAAATCTGCTGCATGCTTGGAACTCCCACTGAATTCATGGGAGCTGAGAGTGCCCAGTGTCCCTGAAAATAGTGTTCACAGAGTACCTCAAAATGGAAGCATTTTGTTCCTTCTAATTCCTAGAGCTATATGCACACTGAGAACATAGCTGCATAAGCTAGGAATTAAATTAAAAACTTTTGTTAATTTCAAAATCCATCACATATAATGAAAGGCTTGCCAAAAAAATAATTAATCACTCTTATTTTCAAACATGACCTGTGGGAAAACAATGACTTAAGTGTTTGACATCAACATATTTCATGGGACTTTATTTTAGCAATTATCCTCCTGTTCAACAGTAATAAGGAACTTTCAGATCTACTTTATTATTCACTGCACACTAAAATAGCTAGTTATTATTCTGAAACTTAATGTTTGATAGGGAGATATTCAACAGTACTTAAGGGATATAGGATATAGGAGCAAAAGGTAATGGGACTATTAAGTTCCTTATTTGCTTTTGAAAATCTTCCTCTAAAGTATTCAATATCAAAATAGACAGAATTAACAAAATTGAGCAGGGAATGAGGAAAATGAACTTGGTTCTTAGGTAAAAGAGATCTTGCTGCAAACTCTTAACATTCTCCCTGACCTCCTCCCCGTTTTTTCCTCAACTCTTACGTTGTTTTGAATTAACAAAAAAGGAGATGCAGTGCTTTAGTCATTCCATCTGCACTCTGACACTTCCTACAACGGATTTCCTCTCTGGCTTGCAGCAACAAGCTTGCCCTTTGCATTCTTTCCTTTCATTACACAACTTGTTCAACTCCTGAACAATGACCAACAGAGAAGAAAAATGCAAGCAGAGTAGGTTGATTGTTGCAGTGAGTTACTTTCTGAAAAGAATGAAAGTCTAATTTTAGTTTGCACCTTCATTTGAATTAGTGATTGCTGCTTCATCATCATAGTCCAATAAAGCACAACAGTAATTTGTTACACGAATCTATTCCAACTCTAACAAAATACTATAATTGAGTCAATATATGGTAATTTTCAGTACAGAAAGGTAGGTGATAGTGCTTCCTCACATTTTAAAATATTTATTAGTCATATCAAAAAAGGATAATTGAAATATATGAATAATATGGCATTGTAAGAATAGGTGATTATTCACAACATAGGCTGTTCTCTAGAGTACATCATTTGTCCCTACTTGTGCTGATTGGTAGCAAATAAGTTTGATGCACATCTTTATTATGTCAAGGCTTTGACTAATCACTATGGGAGAAAATACTATCCAGGCATTTATTATAACACTTGAACTGTCCCAAGCTTCTCGACAGAATGAGTGTAGATAATCATTGTGCTGATTTTATAATACATGTGTATTAGCACTCAAACAGCATTCTAGCTGCATTTGAAACAATATTGCATTATTAGATCCCGCTGCTGTTTTCAACAGATTGTTTATTCTCGATCAGCTGCCCCCCTTTTACACTAAGAATTAGCTTTGAGAAGTTCCATTTGTTTTGGGATCAGGGTTCAGGAGGCAAGTGGATCATTAACCCATGCTGGCTCTTCAGCCAGGTAGCTCTATCAGCAGAGGAGAGATGGGTATGGCTATTTTCAAATCCTTGATCAGCAGGAAAAAAAAGCCAATATACTTGACTAATCAGACTAACTATATAACATGACAATTTTAAGTCTTTCTCCTTGTTTGGGTCAAATATGGTGCTTAGTATTGACGTGTGGTTATTTATTTATTTATTTATTTATTTTAAGTCTGGCATGTTTTAATTACTAAAGAGTTCAAGCTAAAGATGTGAAAGACTTCGGTTTATGTGCTGTTTTACTAATCAATATTTAATATGGTTTTCATAGGATATGTAACATGACACTGATACTCTGGACAGGTAACTTTAATTGTTTGAAAGCATTACTTAATAGGGGGCATCCAGGTAACTGCCAGTAATGAGCACCTTTATTGTTTTATGCTGTAGGATCATATTGCCAAAGATCTTTTTTGTGAAGCCTACACCAAAGAAAATATAATTTATATTGTGATCACACGTTTACCTTTTTGACCAAAAAATCATTTTTACAACTTTGAAAATGTTTTCATATTTAAAACATTTAAAGGGATACTGTCAATTTAGCTAATTCAAACAGTCAATTGTTTAAACATCTTAAACCAACACATACTATTTAAATTTTAAAAAAATCCTTAATTATCGGGGTTTTTGTTGTTGTGCTTTGCTCCTTTACTCAAGGTTTTTATGGTGGGCACGGGAGCAACAACTCTGAATGTACTTAAGCCGGTCCCTTCTATTTCCCCTCCCCTCCCTCTCTATGCACATGCTTGCCTGCTGCCTCTTCAATGTCAGCTTTGCTGTACTGTTGTACTAGTAAACACCTTCATGCAAGGGCTGGGGAAGAGTGTGCATGTGAACTGTCTCCAGAGTAGTGCATGAGTCTTGTGGTTGTGCTGGTGCATGAGAAAGAGAGTGTGCAACTGATCGTCAGTGAAAGTGTTAAAATACTATCAAGTGGACAAAATAAACTGAAATAATAGAGAAATATTTTCCTCTAATCTTTCAGTTATTGTAATATTAGGTATAACAGTAGGTACACATTTTTCAGAGAAATGATTTTTTTCTCCCAGTTGACTGTATCAAGTTATTAGTCTGTTTTTTTCAATGTGAAAACTATTGGGGGAAAGAAGTCTAGAAAGGAGTGTTGTGAAGCAGTCTGTAAAGACCTATCAAAATGAAATACCTTGGCAACACAATGACAGATGAAAATTAATAAGCCAAGGGGGTGCACGTTGAAGGGAATAGTGTAATCTCAATGCTACTATCTAGGCATCCTTGTTGATCAAGGACAATGACTCGAAGTGAAACATTTAAAACTGATGAAAATAAATTGTTGGGTGTATCTTAACATCAATCCTATTTTTATATGTACTAAGTTTCCTTTTATGTGGTAAATAAAAAAGGAAACTTGGGTGAAATGAGAAATATCCTACACAAAAATACAGTTCCCTCCCTCCTCCGTGCATCCCAATGATTTTGTGAACCTGGTTGTGACTAGTTTCTTCTAATAAACTACAGACAAAAGAGAGTGAGGGGGCAATGTGAAGTACACAGTGAGACTTAGTGGAAGCATTTTAGTGATGCCAAGATCCTGTTGTAGCCTGAGTTTTATTTTAGATTCATTGTGGGTTTGGTACTGGAAGACAATTTAGTGGGACTCCTAGAACTGAGATGATGCATCAAGGGGCCCAAAACCTCTAAAAAAAAATAATTTTTGTATTTTAAGTAAGAAGAGAGAGAGTGTGTGTGTGTGTGTGAGAGCATTCAAGCCTTAACTAACAGTTGGAGTCCATCAGATTTTTTTTTAACTACAGCCTGCTTTTTACACTGTTTTTTTAAATATATATATATATAAAAAAATCAGAGCAAATTGAAGGACATTGACTACTTAGCGCATAATACTTTTCAGTAAGTTACTTTTGTCATTGGCTGAATATCTGATAATGCAGGATTTAAAAATGCTGAAAACCAAATGAGTTAACATGTAATCTTGTAAAGAGTGTGACGGTGCTCATTCCTAGCTTGCTCACGCTTTAGTATTTTGGCAGATCTTTAAACTGGAGATGGCAATGGACTTGATTTAATTTTTCTTCTGATTAACTTCTTTAGGAAGTTCAGTTAATAGCTCAGCCTTAATAGCTGTGCCAACTCTGCTCTCCTTTTGCTCTGCAGACTACTGCAGCTATTCTTTGGGTTGTGATTACTTTTTCAGAAATCATTAAGGCTGGAGAATGAATAATGTTTTCAGTTACCTCAATGTTACATTATCAACAAAGTTTTAAATCAGTGAGAACTTAAGATATTTGAATTGCTTTATAGTAAAACTGAGATTGCATGAAATTAAATGTTTTGAAACTGATACTGAAACCAGTTTTAAAACAACTGTTATAATTCCTGTTTTTTTTCAAAATTAAACTAAATTTTTGACAACAAAGTATATATTCTCCAATAGTTTATGCAATAAATAATTTGATTTTCTTAAATTGAGAAACACCGTGGGTCATGCATAGTAAATTTAGCTGAAGAGATACTGTCAGGTATATAACTTGGCTTTTGTTTAAACAGCCTTACGAAACCTAATATTTATAGAAATTAAATGAAATTAACTATAAACAAATGTGAAACTGACAAGGCTAGTTTCTCTATACAAGTTGAGTGAATGTTGGAAAAACTAGATTTTCAAATTTTTCAACCTTATTTTAAATTACTAGCATTAGAGGTAAAAAGCAAGCACGCTAATGGAATTGTGTAGACTAACAAACCGTGGTTTTATATATTTGTAACCTGACAGTGTCCCTCAATTATCAAGTCCCTGTACTTTCATTTTCCAGCTGGGTTTTAACTTTGCATGTGTTTCAGTGAAATACAATATGAATATTGGCTGTTTCCTGGAAGCATTTTGGAGCTATCTCTAGATTTTAATTTGGAAAGTGGTTAGTAATCACAAGATAGTGAAATTATTGTTTTCATTTTGCGGAGGGTTAGTAATGAATGAAAAAGTGCAGTGTAATGTGATTCCATTCCCTACTTCTAATTATTCAGATGCATATATTTAAACTTTTAAAAATTAGTTACTTAAATTACAGCTGTAACTTTAATAGAAATCAGTCCCTTCTGGAAGGGCTTAATGAAATCTAAAACAAAACTAGAATTCAATAGACCTAAATGTTTCCATTCCAATAAATACTTTTTACTGTGGCCTGTTTCTGTAGAGCAAATTGTAATGCTTAATACTTGTCCTTAGTTTATCATAGGCGCCTCAGTGAAGTTATTTCCTTGAAGTAATGCCCACAGAAAGTGGAAGTTGTGCAACTGCTCGGCAAGCAAAGCAGAAGCGCAAATCACACAGTCTTTCTATACGAAGAACCAACAGTTCTGAGCAAGAAAGGACGGGATTGCAAAGAGAGATGTTGGAAGGGCAGGTAAACTAACAGATTGATATTCAAGAACTAATTTCTTAAAACTCTTTACAAATAAATAATGGGACTGTCTTATTTCTTTGTGTACAGAAAAATAAGTACAGACTTAACTCATGAAGAATATCTAGTTAAACTGGAACTTTAAGTGGACGATGTTAATGGAAAAACTTTACAAATTATGCTGTAATACCCTGCCATAAAATAAATGCCCCTAAGAACATAGCCTAGCCACATTTATTGGGAAACTGGTTTTAACAGTCAAACCATGTTAAAAACTGTGTGTACAAATCATGCTCAAGTATAAATGAGATCATTGTGCACTTCCTTTAGGGCAGGGAATGGCAAATCCAGGATTCTTGTGTAACCTTCATTTACCTGACCAGAGCTCTGATAACAGATACAAACTTGACTCCATTTTAACTTGAAGTGATTTTGAATGCTTTAGTAACACACTTGCAATACAAATGTAGAGTTTGTAAGGAAATGAGGTGGGAAAAACATAATGCAAGTAAGTTCCAAACTGCCATTAACTTCATGTACTGGGCAATATGGACTTGGCAAAGAATATCAAACTTCTAACTGGATTGTCCAGGAGAGATGACTGAAATATTAAAAACAAAATATCAGAAAAAGAAGTCTGAACTTCTTTGTAGTCACAAATCTTCAAAGGAAAAATAGGTCTAACTGTGTGAGGCTCTCTGAAAGGTTACTCTCTCTGAGGAGACAAAGGTATATTGCTTCATTTTGCTAGACAGAAGCAAAAATCCTTGTAACATTATGGGCTTGATTACTCATTTAGAGTTGGTAATGAGCTTTTTCTAAGTTTTGGGTTAGTTTGTAACTTATAAAGAAACCTGTACTGTGTTTAACTTTATAGTTAGTCTGTATTTTTTCAGCTCATTATATAAAACATCCATTTTTGTGTGTCTCATTTTCTGAAGTACTGAGTAGGTAATGTCCTTTTTGAGACTATTTTCTTACCTTCCTTCCTGACTTAAACAAGCAGTGATAAGGGACAGTTGAGATACTGGCCTAGCAGAAAGGGCACATTGGATTATTTTGGATTACTCCAGGCATTGGTCTAAAAGCAACCAGGACAACAAGGGCAAAGCTTGAGAGGTTAAGAGCTGCTGACATTTTTACTTTTATATGGTAAATATTAAAAGAAATTAAAGATGGGTAGTTTTGTTTAATATCAAAGAATACAAACAGTTAGCAGGCTGTTAAGCTAAGGGTATGCCTACACAACAATGTAAGCATAGGGTTAGTGGAACTTGAGTTAGCTGACCTGTATCAGGGAACCCTGGGCTTGAGCATCTACATTACATTTTAACCCTAGGTTAAGGATTTTCTGACCTGTACTAAGGCTCTTTCTTTAGTTGTAGGCTCCCGGTAAACTTGCTAAACTCTGCTGACAAGCACATGTGTGTGATACTGTCTAATAGCTGGTCTACATACACACTTTTAATTAAATCTGTTTCATAAAACAGATTATTTCAGATCAAGTCTGTGTGTGGAAACTTGTATTTCAGAGTAAAAGTGGTTCAAGTCATTTTTAGCTAACTTGCACTAAAGGTAACTAAATTAATTTAAATTCACATCTTTTGTTTCAGTACAAGTTTGTAGACCACATTTGATTTGTCTCTTTTCTTTAACAGTTGTTCTTGTCTATCCCCAGTCCTGTCTTGTCATAGATTGTGCTGGGACATTAAATTGTTGGGGTTTTTTGTTTGTACAAAACCGAATTAGTTTTTGAGGCTAGAGGTTGATTAAAGGTGGCATGTATATTGGGTCATCTAGTCAATCCCCTTGGTATCCTGATTAGATGAAATTTTATTATTTTATTAAAATATATGGTAACTTGTTCCATTGCTGAAATTTATTCTCCTCTCCCCACCAACCCCCCAAATTTCTAACCTAGATTTTCCTTTCTGTGGTGTTTCTCCAGTATTACTTGCTCTGTCTTCAGTGATTGCTGACTGTAGTGACTTCACTTCTTGGTTGTGTGCACTTCCCCACCAAGTGAAGTAAGCTGTTGTTGCCTCTGGAGAAGCCTTTTATCCTCAGCCTAAGCATTCAGATGAAAGGCTTTCTCCTTAACAGCCTTTGAAGCAACTGACAGTGCAGCCTGTTGGTAGTGCCCTTTTCCCTGTTGGTTGATAGGTTCTGACCTAAATTTTACAGTGCTCCTATTTTATTGTCCGCTTCACAACAGAAGTTGGGACTACACTCACTTGCTTTTGTTGCCTGGTTCTGTTTTCCTTTTACCTGATACAGTCTGCTCAGTGTGCTCTTTGTAGCTGCTTAAACTAGGAAATAGAGGCAGAGGTTTGAAATTTAAATGATTAAAAATTTGGATTTTGCCTCTTCACTTTTCTTTTTATAAAAAGTTTTGTGATGAATCCCATTCTGAAGTTTGCAAATTGAAACGTGAGTCTGGAAGTTAGTTAATATTCTCGATGTAATTGTGGATATGTTGCACGTATTGCATATCTTAACCTAAGCTCATCCAGGTGTGCATAGCGTGGACCGGTAGGTGAGTTAATGTTAGATTATTTTCAGTTTTCAGCCTTAACATAGCATTAACATAGGATTATGTGGATTTAAGAGATGCTGTCACTTGGTGGTCTTTATCCTATTTATAACATGTCTTGCTAGTTCCCATTTTTCCAGAGACATCACCATTTGGAGTGTCTGATAAATCTATCTTTGGAGAAACTTAAGTTTGCTTACTTTTTACTGGCAATTGGAACACCTAGGCAGGCGATTGTGGTTTAAGGGCTCAGAGTTTTGAGCTATGCAAATTATTTCCCATCTGCTTAAAACACCCACAGGTATTACTAAATTTGCTTCTTTATATCTTGTGAGTGTAATAATTCTCACTTTAGTGAAAACTTCTCTAAAATAAAACATACAGCTGTCAAACTGAAAATGTAACACACAATTAATAGCTCACCTTCAGTTATTGTGTAATATCAACAGAAGAAAGGAAAGAGAAATGTCTCAGCCATAGTGCAAGGATGTTGTACAGTTAGAGACATAATGAATTGCAAAACTGTATATTTGAGTCTAGGTAACTGATTTGCATAATCATGGTGTATAGCTGTTTTTCACTCTGTTCTGGCTATTCATAATTCTCCTTCTCTAGTACACTTTGTATTTAGCAGTTCTAAGTAGTTTGTCTTCAACAGGCAGTTGCTTCAGCTTCACTGCATCTAAAGAGATTCCAGCATGTATGAGAGAAGATTAAAACAAAAAATGTCCTGTAAAACTGATGAAAGTGTAATGATATCTTTTAAAGAAGCTAAATCCTTTTGATTCATTACCTACTTTCTTCTGTTTTACTCACCATCCTCTCAATAAGGCAGCCAAAGGGCTTGGTAGCAGAATTTATTTGTATTATGAACAGTACACAGAAATCCCACTGCTCAAAAAGAGTGTGAGAAAATTGCTTGTCCCAAAGACATTACTATCTAAATACATAACACGTAGAGTGGGAGAAAAGTACTCTGTATCCCCATGTTGCAGATGGGCCAATGAAACAACAAGAGATTTGCCCAAGGTCAATACAGGAATTTTGTGGCAGAGCTTAGAATTGAACCTAGATCATTTAAGTCCCTGTCCAGTGCTTTTACCACAAGAACACCCTTCCTCTCTTGAATAACTGTCATATTTGTGTATACAGGTGAGTATCCCAGCTCATCTATTTGACTTCAGTTCTGAATACAGCGTAAAGAAATGTTGCATTTACTATGGAGAGAAGAGTCTTGATGATCTGTAGGGAGGGAAGGAGATTATTAGAAATAATGAGATGAAAAGAGAGAGGAGATGGATGATGGGTGACCAGAATAGCTAACTGTTCAAAGTGAATGTTTGTTTTTTTTGTTTGTTTGTTTTTTTGAAATTTGGCAACCCATTTTGTTTTATATATATTTAATTTGATACTTTGTTTAGTACAATTGGAAAGTGCTTCCTGTTTTAGGTAATAACCACATCTTAAGCTAATAAACTCTTCAACTTTTTTAATTCATTTTTTGTACTTCCAAGGTATGACTACTTCATAAACTGGAAACACCTTAAACTATATAATATAACATGCACACTTTTAATTTATAAAACCATTTACACAGGAAAAAACAAGCAGCATCTTGGTATAAATTGTCCTCTAGCAGAAAATAAGAAATTCATTTAACCCAGCAAGTTTGATATTTATCCTTTACAGGCAAAAGAGCTTGAAAATTAAGCCATTATTACATATGTGTAAAATACAGCCCAAGAGTTTTCTTGCTTGTGTTTTACATTACAAATTCCAGTTTTCCTGTGTACTGGAGAATGGGAGAACTGCTGAGATTGATTTAAGAGATTGAAATTGGTGCTGTAGTTTCCCTTTTCCAAGGGGAGGTTTAGTCAAATTGTTTATACTTTTGAGTTGTTTGTTGAAACCTGATTAACTGAAGACTCCAGATTACTAGGTGAAAAACTCTTTCTGAAAGCGTAAACATCTCCTTCCCTTTAAGTCAGATCTGGGAAGCTACACTTAGGTTTCAGTGCCACTCACACTTGTGAGTCTTGTGTTTTTGTTGAAAGTTGGGAGAATAATTTTCTTATGGTGGTTAACATGGGTAGGTTTTGGGGAAAGTTGATGGATTTCCCCCCTTTTTTAAATAGGGATTTGAATGAAGAGAATTTAGAAGGCATTAAGGTAGCATAGAATGATACAAAAGGAGCAGTGGGACCAGGAGGCTTGAACAGAGTGACGGTAATGCGGAGGAGTAGGAAGAAATGAGCAGAGACGTGGTAGGCAGGGGATAGCTGTGCAAAATCTTGAAGCTGAGAATGAGGAAATTTTGATGTTGAAGCTGAAAGGAGACTAGTAGAAGACATGAGAGGGAGTGTTGTTAGTCTTGGAAAAGAAGATTTTAGCTATGGCATTTTGCATAAACTTGAGCAGAGCAAGAGGGGCTGTAGTAGTCAGTGTAGGAAGCAAGAATTTTCGCCATGGAGGTGTGGATGACTGAGATTTTGAGATGTCAGGAAATCAGATGTGACTTGCTTACAGCCTGTGTGTAGGGAGAGACCTGAATAGAATCACAAGTTGAAAACTTGAGTAATTTGGAGGATGGTGATATCAAATCTTGTAGACGAGAGGAAAATGGAGTCCAGTTTTCAGCTACACTGTGTTTGGGCTGGTGCAGAAACATTACATGCTAGATTGGCTCTATTCCTATTCCCTTTCTTTCAGTTCAATTTGAAAGTTTATCTTGGACAAAGAAAATAAACTCCCCTTTCTTCGATTTAATTTCCAGTTTTCCAGTTATCATAATGCTGCATTATTTGGAGTGCCAGTACTGCTGGAGAATGTTTTGTTAAAAGCAAACTTTCCTTTGGAATTTAGATTAAAAAAAAATCTCATGCAGCGAGGAGGGTGTGAGTTGACAGCAGTTGAACTTGTGATTCAAAGAAGTCTTAGGGTTTCAGGCTTTTAATTATTACAGCTAGAATTACTTGAAGAATTTAATGTTTTTACTTTTGCCCGTGTATCTGCTTAAAAATGTAATAAGAAATTAAAATATATGGTGGTGTAACTTATAAAACTTCATAGGTTTTGAATAGCTTTATAAATACCAGTTAAAAATCTCAGGTCACCACAATGAGAAGTACCATATTTTGTCTTACTCTTCAGCATCAGACTAAGTGAAAATATAAGCATGCTACAGTTGAAAAATCATGTAAATGTTAGACTGTGATTTTTTTGCATTGCAAGCTTGCTGCTCTGCTAACAAACTAATGTTTAGAAATGATTTTATTAAAACTAATGTCTTTGGTCCTCAGCAACGCAACATTCATATTATATCATAACTTCAATATTTACAGAATTAACTGCTGATAGTTTTTTAAAAACTAAACTTAAAACTTGGTATCAGTGTTAACATTTTTTCCCCTCTAGGATACTAAACTTCCTTCATCTGTTCGGAATACACTTTTGGAGCTTTTTGGGCAAATAGAGCGAGAGTTTGAAAACCTTTATATTGAAAATTTGGAATGTGAGTATGATTTTCTTATAACTTGAAAACAACTATATGGAATTAGATTATAGTAGGATTCATTGTGGTCATAAAATACTCTGTATGCTAGAAAGTAATGTACCCTTATTTAGAACGTTTCAAATGGCCCAAAATCATATCCCTAAATTGGAGTCGGCCCCTTTTCTGAAAAAGTGCCTTGGGATCTTTTCCCCAAGGAGTTAGGACTCCTGTTGTGTCTTACCTGAAAGAGAGAACTCTGGCAGCGTTGTGCTCCTTAGCACCATACTGGGGAATTGTTTCAGTATTGACTCAGAAGGGAAACCTGCCGTCTCCCATATCAGCAGTACAGCTTCCTGCATGACACAGGTGTTCTTAGAGGTCTCCAACCAAGGTATTAATTGGACCTAACCCTGATTAGGTTGTGAGATGAGATAGGATTATAGTTCTAGTATGTCTACAGGCCATTATTTTTTTGTTAGTATGGGCTACTTTAGTAAAGAGGATTCACAATACATATACACCGCTACCTCGATATAACGCGACCCGATTTAACACAAATTCGGATATAATGCGGTGAAGCAGTGCTCGGTGGGGGCGGGGCTGCGCACTCCAGTGGATCAAAGCAAGTTCAATATAACGCGGTTTCACCTATAACGCAGTAAGATTTTTTGGCTCCCGAGGACAGCGTTATATTGAGATAGAGGTGTATTAGCATTATGCAATACCTGAGGTTTCCTGATTAGTTAGTATATTATACACAAAAAACATTAAAAGAACATTGTTGCAAAGTCAAGCACTCAAAACTTGGGAAATGCCTAGGGTCTTCTTGAAAAAAAGTATGTGATCATATAATTTAAGTGCATCATAATGCATATACACAAGGGCTCAAATTAAGGTTGCACAGCAAGCCTTAATTCTGATATTTCCTTACTTTTGATTGTTCAACTCTGCAGCCTTAAAGTTCTTTGAACAGTGTGTGTCATTTCTTGATATTTTTAAAAAGCAAACCGAAAAAAAAAAAATTCTGGCATCTAGTAGACATCCACATCATTCATTAGCAGGGTTGGAACTTTTAGAGCCCCCATACACACCTTTGTAATTAGGAGTAACTGGTAGCAATAGTAGATTGCCATCCTCTGTGCGAATTAGCACTAGAGGAGAATATGGGACATGTTGCCAGTGGGTTTTGCAGGTATTTGCTGACGACAGAGCAATGATGAGACCAGGTTGTTTTGGGTTCCATTCCAGACTCTGAGGGGACTGTGCTCTCCCCTTTTTTCCCCCATAGTATGACCCCTTCTGTCCCACTCCCTCCACTCCAGTCTGTCCCTGTTCCAGTTCTCTCTTTCCCACCCTGGCTCGGTGTCTCAATTCCATTCTACTCATCTAGCTAGTCCCACTCTCCACTCCTCAGGCTTCTCATCCCAATCCCAGTCTCCTTGCCCAGTCATTCCCAGCTCCTTGTCTCCAGCCGTTGTGCCCAGCCATTCGCAGTTTCCCCTCTCAGCTCCTCATCCGGTCTCTGTCCCCGCCCTGGCCTACCATTACATCCCATGCATGTTCCTCATCCCAAAGCTCCCTGTCTAATTTCAGTGTCCGTCCCATCCCCCCCATATACACACACCTGCACTCACTGTCAGTCTCCTTGCCGGGGCTCTCTCCCCAGTTACTTATTAGATATGTCTCCTCTTCCACCTACTGGCTCCCAGTCCTACTCTCCTTGTCCAGCCAGTCTCTCCTCCCTTTCCCCCTGGGCTCCTTGTGCCAATTTTACTGAACCAACAGGTCTGCTTTGTCTCCCTCTACGTTCAAATCAACCAGGTTCCTCCTCAATGCTGCCAACTGCTTATAAAATTTTTTATAGTGCAAATGGTGAGTGTGGGTAGTTTAGAGAAGTAATGGTAAAAGTACATTGTGCAATACTGTATGCACACAGTATCAGAGGTGATGTTGAGATTCTCATTCATGTTGTGAACATAGTTTTTTATGCTTACATGCAAAAACTACTTTTGTATTACAGTAAATGTTTATGGAACACTTGAATGAAACACATTAAATGTATAGTACAAACATCGAATTCTTCTTTTAAAAATAAGTTAACCTTAATTAAGATACTTATAGGAATAAAATGCATTACTGCTGGGAGAATTCTGTGCCAAAAAATTAAAAAATATTTTAAATTTCTGCGTATTTTATTTGTCAAAATAACACAATACAGTCACACCAGTTTCAATTATTTTTGGTCATTTATTTCAAAATACCTGTCAGTGAGTATGTTTGTAACAATACAGACAACAAAGGTTCAGGAAATGTTTTTTGACAAATTCCTTACTAGGCATATTAATACAGAACTCTGAGTAATAATTCATTTAAACTAAAATACAGAACAGTATTTCCTGCACTCCATGAAGCAGTGCAAAGGCTGGGGTGGGGGGGGAGTCAGGGGTAACGGAGGAGCTGAGGGAGAGGGAAGTAAATTGTTGGGAAGGAGCCTGGGTGTGAACTTGGAGAGTTGTTTGGTATGGGTGGGGAAAAGTATGGAACAGGTTTTTTGTGGGGACAGGGAGGGATTGTTAGGGAGCTTCCCCCATGCAGATCCTGGCTGACCCCTAGCCTCTCCCATTCTGTCAGGCACATCTGCCCTGTGCCCATGTATCCTTGCACACCACATGTCTCTCCATCCCAGTCAGACACCCACTTCTTCCATCCCCATATGGCCCTGCTCCCCTGTCCCCATGTGTCTCTTTGCCCCCACACAGCCATTCCCTCGTCCCTGTGTGTCCCTGAAGCTCCTTCCCCATCACCCTGTGGACTTGCACCTCCACTCCCATTCAGCCCCTGTCCCAGTCTGTCCTCCCCCACTAGCCCTTATGAGCCCCTGTCTGACCCCCCCCCCCCCAGCACCCCCATGCTATCTGTCTCTCCATAGCCCCTGTCTCCTGACCTGTGAAGAAGGCTCTGCAGGCTCTTTCTCTTCCCTAGCTGGCTGGGAGCTGCTGTGTTCTAGCACCACAGCGCCCTATGGTGGGCAAAAGGTGGAACTGCAGGAACATTTTGGCAGAAGCTTTTTTGAGCAAACAATTTAAAATATGACTCATTAATTATGCGCATACACAGTAGCGCAGAATTCCCCCAGGAGTAATGAGTGTTCTTGTTTAATCTTATTAGCTTCAATATGCTGTTGCCCTACTATATCTTTTTGATTTTCAGCAATGCACTAACTTCAAATGAATAGCATACAGCAGGAAAAACTCTGCTTTATAACTTAATAGAACCTAGAAATGACTTGCTAATTGTGGATGAAATAACTGTTATGAGGCCACAGACTTCCTGAATTTTCATTTTTTGAATGGAGTTAGTTTGATGCATGGGTTCTACACTCATTACAGGTATTGTCCTGTTAATGTTCAGTCACATCTGCTAACAAACTGTAATGAGAAGTGATGAGACTGTTTGGCAAAGTTTCCTTGGAACCTGGGTCAAGGTTTATCTTTGGCTTGGAAGTTCAGCATGACATTTTGTCTTTGTTTAGAACATGCAGACTGTTTTTATAAGATAATAAACTACTCTTGTGACTCATAACATAAAATAGATGACTTAATACCACGAAATTCCTTAGAGTACAGTATTTTAATTATGTGCTTTTAATTGCATATTTATATTAACTTTTTTTGCTACTGTTAGTACGTCGAGAGGTCGATACACTTAATGAGCGCTTAGCAGTTGAAGGACAGACAATTGACGGAGCTGAACTGAGCAAAGGACAACTGAAAACAAAAGGTAAGATAAATATTAACAAATATTAGGTTTTCTGTAGCTTGCTTTTCCTACTTAGCTTAACCAAATTTACAATTTCGTTAAAGGGAATTAATACCATTGCACAAATAAGTTAACAAACCTATTACCCGAAATATTTTCCTTTGAACTTATTTGTCTCAACAGCCAGTCATAGTACCAGTCAGCTTTCACAGAAATTGAAGACCACTTACAAGGCATCTACCAGCAAGGTATGTGACAAACTAAACCTCTCCTTAATGCTCATGTGTACTTATGAGACTAATGTGGCTGTTTTTACATTATAATGTATTGTGTGTTAAGCAGTATAGTTCCATTTCTAAATAAACATGCCTAGTAAAGAATAGTATCTATCTTGGATTCAGCAATTATCCCTCACTACAGAAGTGCTATATTAAACTTCTGTAAGATACGATTTTTAAGAAGGCTAATAGAAATTGGAGTATGGGGGAAGGGATTTTATGGCAATGTAAACTACAAAAGAGTTACTGTATTTTCATGTTGAAAATACAAAATTAAATAAGTTTTGACTCTGAGGACTTCTTTGGGAATGACCTCTAAAACTATCCTTCGAAGGCCTTGCAATTGAATTGGTTTAAATTGGTTGATTGTCTATGTAGTGTGGTTTTGAGCTTTGTCCTATCACAGGTTGTCTATTCTTGAGCTTCAAGTATATGATAATGGATAGGTTCCCAACCTCTCCATCATGCTCCTTTCCAATTGGCAGATAGGCACCCCTTCTTGTACTATCTCTCTGCACAGTTGCCACAGTCTTCCCATTTATGTCCAGACTTTGACATTTCTCTCCATTTTTGGTCTTATTTTTCTGTGTTTGTCTAGTGTGTTTTTATCTACCCGTCTTTTCTCCCTCCCATTCCCAAACCACTAGGTGTCTACACACTGCTCTTTTTTTGCTTGGTGTGAGGGTCATTCATTGGTAACTTCCTGGGGAAGGGCAGCAGAGGTGTTTGCAATGAAAAATGATGCCTGACTTAGATTAAATACATGAACTGTTCCCATGATTAGCTGCATTATGTGCTGCTGTGGGAGTAGAGAGGCATTGTGGGAGGTTTTTACAGGCACCATTTACTACTCTACTTGTTAGTGTGGGAGCATGGATATAGTATGGTGAAGCATTGAAGCATACTGTCAGACCCTTGAATTGGTCTGACAATCGCAAAGGCCTGCCAACAAGCTGGGAAAACATTAGTATAAGAAAGTAAATGCTAAAAATTAACACACTGCTAATTTTTTGGATGATTCAAAGTTAACATTTTGTATATAAGCTAGATAAATAAAAAGTATAATGATGCACTGGGCTGACTTTAAAGTCTGTATTTAATGTGCATGGATTTCTTTAGACAAAATTCATATACAGGGGGGAAAGAGGATAAGAATGGGATATTGTTGTTTTTTTATTATTTAGTTCAATCTAACAAGATTGTTCACTTACTCTCTGAAGACTTTTATATAGTTCCTATTGTCGTGGATCAGTGTGCATGCACTGATGTGATGAGAATATACCCCCATTTTTTGTAATGCATAAGTTGCAAATTCTTTAACTAGGCTAGTTAAAATATGAGCAACACAAGATTAGTTGTACAGCTATTTTGTAGTCACAGAATAGTATTTTTCATTTTGATGAATATGCAGAAATTACTGTTTGTAAAGCAGGTATTGAATACTTATCTTCTCTTAATTGCTTGCAATGTAGCACTCAAATTCTTTCCTAGGCAAAGCAGGTGGATCTCGCAACTTCTACGTGGGAAGCTGGGAAATATGGGGTGGAGACTCATGGGTAACTGCTTTGCTTCCCAGTGTGCCAGTATGCATGTACAGCTAAGTAGTGGCGAATGGTGGAACATGCAGAATCTCATAATTTTTCATGGGTATCATATCTGTCAACTGTGCCATGTCAGAAGACTTTACATTCTTCATTGTTACTCATTTACTGCTTTTACTTGTAGATAAAAAACAATGAATCAGAAGAGTAAAAAAGACTGCAGAGCAGGTAGCATCTCTTCCCACTGCGTTCTGCAGAGTTTAACCTCTGCAGTTGGTGGGAGTATGCTCATTTTGAACAGTCACTTTTGTGAGTGGGAAGGTAGTCACTCTTTGGCTTCTGTAAAACAAAGAAACTATAATGTGCTTAGAGACAGAAGTTCAAGAAAGATATACATAATAATATCTGGTTAAGAAAATAAAACTTCTCTTGCACTCAAACTCCATAGGAAAATCTGCCAAAATGCTGTAGGATAGCAAGTGCATGGCTAAGTCAGAGGGAATGGAGCCTCAATTTTCCACTTTGAGTGTCAGACTGCTGTATTGTGCTTCACCGATCAGGTTCTTCAGTCTTCTTTCTACTTGATGCTGTAGTGTAGTTAAATGCCATTTTGACATTCGCCTTTCGAAATGGAAATAACTTGTAACTGGTTTACTATTAAGACGTCAATACAGGATCAAGAAGGTGAGAGTGAGCAGTTCTATGAAAGAAGACTTTATCTAAACTATCTTAAATAGCAAGTGGTAGGGCATATTTTTAATAGGTAAATCCCAAATTAATATCTATATAAGGTATATTTGAAAGTTTTCTCCTGTGTAAAGTCCTTTTTTAATCGATTCAGTGGTATTTGAATAACTTTTGCTTCCTATTTGCACTGTAGTTCTTGAAGGTGGAAGAAATAGTAAAATATTCCAGTAAATAAAACCACCCGTGTTTGAAGTAGGAGAAAGCAAAGGAAAACAGATTTGGTTTATCTCTCCTGTAAAGATAATATCTGGTACAGAATTCTTATTCGTGAGTTTTAGCTCCTCAGTGTGGCACAGTAAAAACTGCCCAGGCTTTAAAAGATTTTTATCACTTGGTCTTGGGTGTGAATCAACCATCAGTGGTGGCCACACACCAATCTGACACAGGCACAGCTACTGTGTTTGAACAGTACAGTAAATTCTTAATTGGTGGTCGTGGGGCGCTGGGAAGGCTCCTTCCAGAAAACTAAGACAATCCCCAAAGAACTCATGCATAGAAAAAATCATGACTCAAAATCAGAAACCACAAACTTAGAATTCTAACATAAACACCACCTGAAACAAACCCGTCAAATCTGTGGGAAGTGCCAAATGGTTTTCAGAGAAGCAGAATTAAAAGGTAAATAACTAGCTCTTCCTTATGGGCACCATTTTTTACAGAATTCTTTGTCTTGAAGAGTAAGTAATTTAAGGATTTTTCTAACAGAAACATGTAGCAATGACTACTAAAAAGGGCTTTAAAAATGAAGGCAAATGCCAGATGCTCAAAGTATGGTGTGTCTAAGTACATGGCTTGACAAGCCTGCCTTGTTGAATCTCTTTTCCAGAGAGACTTTAATGACAATGGGAAGAAAATGCATAAGAACTTAAACTGACAGAATCTTTTTCCAAAACTGAAGATAAAATTGCTTTGCCTAGGTTACTTTGTAATGGCATGTTCAAGAGGGGAGTGTGGGCTCAAGAGCCAAAAGGTGTGTGTGTATATGTAACTTTGAAATTTGATAAACAGTTGAGAGGTATGTTAGTCCTCTTTCTGTAACTTACTTCTACTATTCTGCTTTGCATACATGGCTCCATTTTGTTTTAAGGAGTATATTAAATCTGAAAGCTGCATTTTAAGATTGTCTTGAAGGTTTTATGATTAATTCTGCAGTATGATTAAACTACTAATCTCTATCTTGTTTTGTGAGGATTAACCTGTTTCCTTTTAAATGCATCCTTAAGTGATTGTTACTTCTGTTGATTTGAAGCTGTTCTGTTTATTAACAATTTAATTTTGACTTTATAGAGGATTTCATCATTAGAAGACAGACATGCAAAAAAACTTGGAATATTTTAATTTTCAATATTCTTCCAGGCTTTCTCTGTTTTTATGACGTCTCTTTTTCCTGGAACAATTTCACTTTGTTTTAATCACGTGATATTTGAATGCCATGTCTGCCTAGCTCAGTCATCACAGATTAATGGAATTTCATTCTTAGTAATATTTTTCCTGAGTAAAACCTCTGATAGAGGAATTTCTTTGTAGCTGAAATGTAGAATTAATTATTTAAGATCCTATTTGCTTTTAAGTCCAGACATTTTAGGGTTTGAATTAACCAGTGTCTGACTACATAACTTAAAATATCTGTTCATAATTATACTTCTGTTAAGAATTTTTTCAGGATGTATCATTTACAGAGTTTGTATCCAACTTTGGGGTGCCATCTTCCTCATAGTACACTCGTTAAATGAGCCCCAAAGCTTGTGAAAATGAAGTAGTACCTACAGCATAGATGAGCAAAGCTTGTTTTTATCCCCTTTGTATTGGGGGATTTTCTGTTTATACATGCTTAGTTTCAGCATGTCTCTGGAAGTCTGTCATGTTCCGGCAAGGCAAATTGTATTTCTATCTTGCTTTCTCTTCTTTATATACTCCACTTCCCTTTGATCTGGAATTTATCCAATTCAGATACCCTAATATGGATGGGTCACCATTGTTTTCAGCGTTCCTGCACTAATATAATTATTTATTTTCCTGTAAGATGGGTATATTTCCCCTAGGTTCTGTTATCTGCTTTCTTGTTCTGTTAGTGCTTTTCTAAATACTAATTTTGATTTAATAAAAAGTTGTTCATAACAGCACTGAATCTAAGGGAATGTGACCAGCAAGTGGCTCAGATATAACTTTGTTAGCCTCTGATTTTTTGACACTTTTGTGAAAAAATGCTTCATTATCATGCAAATAGAACTGCCTGCATATGCTTCCTGGTTAATTCTTATATACTGCAAAATGTTAAAGATTTAAAGCTAATTGAATTTTTGTTGCAATTTTGAAGAAAAAAAGTGGCTCAACATTTTTGGGTTTTTTTTTTTTTACACATTTTTGGCAGCTCTACATATTGTATGGAAACAAATTTCCCCAGACTTATATAATACAATACAGTTCACATCAGACAGCAAAATACAAGCTATCCTCAGACCCTCAGGCACATAACCATTTGTGGGGAGGGGAAGGGAAATTCTTTTAGCCAAGGACCTCCTACCAAACTGAATGGAAAGTGTAGACATTGGGCCAAATTCTGCTCTGTGGTATCTGTGCAATCTCATTGTATTGCATTATTCTAACCCAGGACAAAATGTGTCCCATTGTCTTTATAAGAAAACATCTAGTGCATATGCATCAAAAGACTTATTTTTCTGCAGTTAAAGGTCAAGAAACTCTTGAAAAATAATGAACTATAAGTGAGAGCTGATTATAAAAATCTTATCTATTTATGTTAACAAAGGCTGTGCATACTGCCTTTTTGGGGGTGATTAATAATTATCTGCAGATTGATAGGAAAAATAAATTGTTCTCTCTGCTGTTATAGATTGTATCCAGTTTCAAAACTACAACATCAAGGGCAATCTGTCAACTGGTGAAGGAGTATGTTGGCCACAGGGATGGTATTTGGGATGTCAGTGTCACGAAAACTCAGCCAGTGGTGTTGGGGACAGCATCTGCTGGTAATGTTTTTTGTTTTAACTCCGGTATCTCTCTCAAAATGTTTGTGTTAGATTCAGTAAGAAGTGTAATTAAATTTAAAGCATAAGTGAAAGCTTAGTTGCATTCTATATATGAGAATGTCTTCATGGGTCTTTTATGTTAGATCTTAATTTAATTGTATTTGTTTGGCTAACAGTCCGTTCAAGTAGTTTATATAGTTACCCTGATAACAGAATTATATTAAGGAGGTTCAGCATCTTAAACTCTCTAAACAAAATGAAATGGATTTATCTGAAATTCTGTTTAGCCTGGGCATATGTGGAAAAGTTCAAGCATCCTAGTTGGGTGTTAGCCGTCAACCCTGTGTTAGCGGTGATCCACTTACAATTTAATGGCTATTCAGTGTGCTAAAAGGAATGCATTTAGTATCATTTAAGGAGATCCTTTTTTTCCCACTCAAAAGTCCTATAAGGTGGTTTCGGGTTGTCGTTAACTTTGAGGGTACTCACATGGGATACCACAATTGAGGGAGATGACTTATTGTTAACTGTGTACATATAGCCTGTGTCTGGTTTTGTGTATGTTAATGAGCCCTTTGGGAAGCAGTATCATTAATATAGTGATGACAGTTCTCTTCTTTGTTCTTGTGCGATCCAGAGGTGCAGTAGTGATTGCTTCCATACATTTAATTGTATGGTGTCTGAGCCGTACAACTGAGAGTAATCCCTGGCTTTTGATGCTACTTAAGCATCTAGGAACAGCTGAAGGATCTGTAAGGATCACAGATTGAGGACCTTATTAATACATATTCTTCCTCAGTTGAGAGGCAGATACTACAGCCATCAGTTCACACTTTAAATATTTTTTGGCAGCAGTAGCATCCCCTCCATATGAGCCCCTATCTTGGAGGGGCACTGAGAAAGTAAAGCTTTGTTACTTCTAGGCTGGATAATATGTTCTAATTGGTGCTACCTTAGAGAGTAGATCAGCATGTGGAAATGCTTAGTGGTCTTCAGTGTATGGAACCTATGTGCACCACAGACTGAACTGGCTATTGCTTCTAGGTACAAATGAGTTGTTTTAATTTACAAAGCCCTGTGTGTTTTAGGTCCTCATTGAACTTAGAAACATCCTTTCTCCTTTTGTTGCATCTCCGCAACAGATCAGCATGGATGCGCTTTACTTGCAATCTGAGGACTCCTATCTGTTGAAAGGCCTTCTTGAGTGAATGAAAGAAACACTCTTGTGGGTTCCGTTTAAGTTGACTTATTTTTTCCCCATAACTTCAGTTGTGCAGTGTTTTTAATGGCATAAAAACATCCTAAAATTGATGGGTACATAGTTGCAGTCATCTTTTTCTAAGTAATAGAATACAACTTCTAGAAGTAGATCATGCCTGTTAAAACTCATCTCAAAGTAACTTGATTTAAAGTAGCAGTTTCCTGTTAAATTTTATAATTTACACTAACCATTTCAAGTTGCAGTGAATGGAAACTTTGAAAATACAATGCAGCTTTCCTTTAAGTACTTAGTCAATTGAAGCTTATTTTATTTGTCGTGCTAGCAATCACACTTTTCACTGTAAGACTTGTATAATAGTAGTTGAAAAATAAAATTTTGCATATGCGTGAAATGCTTACACATGCTTCTGTTTTAACCTTTATAGACCATACTGCCTTGCTGTGGAGTATAGAAACAGGAAAGTGCCTTGTCAAATATGTAGGTCATGTTGGATCAGGTAAGAGCATATGAGGTGCTTGGAGTGTGTGTGTGTGTGTATGTATGTATACGTATACACGTTAATCTTTCTATAATGGCTTCCATTATAAAGGTTCCCAACTCTATTAGAAAACTCCATTGTAAAGGTTTCAGAGTGGTACCCATGTTATTCTGTATCAGCAAAAACAATGAAGAGTCCTTGTGGCACCTTAGAGACTTGCACATTTATTTGGGCATAAGCTTTCATGGGCTAGAACCCACTTCATCAGATGCATGAAGTGAAAAATACAGGAGCAGGTATAAATACATGAAAAGATGGGGGTTGCTTTACCAAGCGTGAGGTCAGTCTAACGAGAAATCAATTAACAGCAGGATACCAAGGGAGGAAAAATAACTTTTGAAGTGGTAAGAGAGTGGCCTATTACAGACAGTTGACAAGAAGGTGTGAGTAACAGTAGGGAGACATTAGTATTGAGGAAATTAAGTTTAGGTTTTATAATGACCCAACCACTCCATCTTTATTCAGGCCTCATCTGATGGTATCCAGTTTGCAAATTAATTCCAGTTCTGCAGCTTCATGTTGAAGTCTGTTTTTTAAGTTTTTTTGGTTGAAAAATTGCCACTTTTAGGACTGTTGTTGAGTGACCAGAGAGATTGAAGTCTTCTACTGGTTTTTGAATGTTGTGATTCCTGATATCAGATTTGTGTCCATTATATTCTTTTGCGTAGAAACTATCCGGTTTGGCATGCATGCATGCATGCATACATACATACATTTATTTAGTTTATATGCAGAACACTTAAACATGATGAAGGTCCTAAATTATCATGTTAATACAATTCTCATTGACTTTTTTATCTTTGTGTATAAACTAGTCTACGTAGGTTTATGTGGCTAATAGTTTTAGAATCATAGAATTGTAGGACTGTAAGGGACCTCGAGAGGTGGTCTAGTCCAATCCCCTGCACTCAAGGCAGGATTAAGTATTATCTAGATAATTCCTGACAGGTGTCTGTCTAACTTGCTCTTAAAAATCTCCAATGACGAAGATTCCACAACCTCCCTAAGCAATTTATTCCAGTGTTTAACCACCTGGACAATTAACAAACTGTTATGTGCTCCCCTCAGTCTTCTCCAGACTAAACAAACCCCTTCCCTCATGTTTTCTAGACATTTAATCATTTTTGTTCCTCTTCTCTGGACTTTCTTGAATTTTTCCACATCTTTCCTGAAATGTGGCACCCAGAACTGGACACAATACTCACAGTTGAGGCCTAATCAGCACAGAGTAGAGCAGAATAATTTTCTTGTGTCTTGCTTATAACACTTCTGCTAATACATCCCAGAATGTTTTTTTTTTAATTTTTTTGTATTTTTATTTTTTTGCAAGTGTTACACCGTTGCCTCATATTTAGCTTGATTCTCTCTGACCCCAAGATCCCTTTCCACTGTATTCCTTCCTAGTCAGTCATTTCCTATTTTGTGTGTGTGCAACTGATTGTTCTCTCCTAAGTGGAATACTTTGCATTGTCGTTATTGCATTTCATCCTATTTACTTCAGACCATTTCTCCAGTTTGTCTAGATCATTTTGAATTTTAATCCTATCCTTCAAATCACTTGCAACCCCTCCCAGCTTGGTAACATCCACAAACTTTGTAAATGTTCTCTCTATGCCATAATCTAAATAATTGATGAAGATATTGAACAGAACCGGATCCCACTTGATATGTCCTTCCAGCTTGACTGTGAGCCAGTGATAAATACTCTGAAGGAATGGTTTTCCAACCAGTTATGCACCCACCTTATAGTAGTTCCATCTAGCTTGTATTTCCCTAATTTCTATATAAGAAGGTCATGCGAGACAATATTAAAAACCTTTCAAAAGTCAAGATATATACATCCACCGTTTCTCCCCATCCACAACGCTTGTTACCATGTCAAAGAAAGCTGTTAGGTTGGTTTGACGTGATTTGTTCTTGACAAATCCGTGCTGACTGTTACTTATCACCTTATTATCTTATCACAAGCCTTCAGGATAAAATTTGACTCTTCACTACTTTACAAATGTTTTTACTATTTAAGCTGACTTCTTTTCTAAAAGATTTTTTCCCGTAACTTTGGCCTAAAATTTGGTTTTGTTTTACGCAGTAAATTCTATAAAGTTCCATCCAACGGAGCAAGTAGCTCTTACAGGTATGTAGAATTTTTGTTTCATACATTGTGTTTGTCATAAGAAAGTAAAAACAAACCACTCTTTTTACTGTAACACTGTGTGTTAGCTCTTGCTGAGTAGCAGATATTTTTGATGTTATCCCCACCTTACCCTCTCCAATTCCCTACGATTTATTAACTCATTCTAATTTAATACGCTTTTGGTGCAGAGATCATGTCTTTTCTGATTTGGGAAATATCTAGTAGTCTAGTAGTGTGCAGATGGGAATAATAAATATCACATTGCCATTTTACATTTTTATTTTCTATTCTAATTTTCTTCAAATAAAGAAAAAAATGATACTTTTTAATATTAATGAAGCAACTATAGACTTCAAAAGGCAATAATGGAAGGATATTCTCTGTATAGTGGCTGATGCATGTTATGAGTGTGACAACTTTCTCATTGGCCATAACATCATCAGTACAGCGTTGTGTTCAAATCTGGAGGATGTGGTTAATCCTATGGTTCATATGATTCAGCGATAAGGTGTTAGCTTTAGGATTCAGGAGACTGAGATTCAGTTGCCTGTTTTGCTACAGGCTGCCTGTGTGACCTCTGGGGCAAGTTACTTAATATCTCTGTGCCTTACTTCCCCATAGGTAAATGGGCATAATGGAACTTCCCTGCTAAACAGGGGTGATGAGAAAAAATGTGTTCAAGATTGGGAGCCATACAAGAGTTCTGGGGACCATATACATATCTATGAAAGTGAATATTTCTTCCCAGCCAATCTTGTGGTGGTTTTTCTCTAGCATTTATACTTGACTCTGCTCAAGTTTAGAGTTACATAATAGCAAGGACCATACCAAAATCACAGGTCCATTTAGGTCAATTTCACGGGCATAGAATTTTAAAAATGGTAAATTTCATGATTTCAGATGTTTAAATCTGAAATTTCAATGTTGTAGCTGTAGCAGTCCTGAACCAAAACTGCGTTCTGTGGGGGGGATTCGCAAGGTTTATGTGTGTGGGGGGGGTCGCAGTATTGCCACTCTTACGTCTGTGCTGCTGCTGGCGGTAGCGCTGCCTTCAGTGTTGAGCGGCTGGAGAGTGGTGGCTGGTGGCTTCAGAGACCAGCTCTGAAGGCAGTGCTGCTGCCAGCAGCAGCGCAGAAGTAAGGGTGACATGGTATGGTATTGCCACCCTTACTTCTGCGCTGCTGCTGGTGGCGGCCCCCTACAATAACCTTGCGATTCCTCTCTCCCCTCCCCCCCAGTAGCCCCTTTTTGGGATGGGACCCCCTCCCAGGTCTCCCCCATGAAAATCTGTATAGTATAGGACATCAGATTTCATGGGAGAGACAAGATTTCATGGTCTGTGACATGTTTTTCACGGCCAAGAGTTTGGTAGAGCCCTAATAATAGCAGTAATGTTGAAATATTGTTGCAATTATAAACCTCATTTTCCTTTCTCCAAAAGCCAAAGCGGAGTTTTCTCTGTTTAATCAGAAGTTGCTCAAACAAGCCACTTTTGAGATATGGGATGCTGAAAAATAGCAAAGTTCTTAACCTCTACACCAGTGGTTCTCAAACTTTTCTACTGGTGACCCCTTTCACATAGCAAGCCTCTGAGTGCGACCCCGCCCCCCAACAAATTAAAAACACTTTTTAATATATTTAACATCATTTTAAATGCTGGAGGCAAAGCAGGGTTTGGGGTGGAGGCTGACAGCTCGCGACCCCCCCATGTAATAATCTCGTGACCGCCTGAGGGGTCCTGACCCCCAGTTTGAGAACCCCTGTTCTACATTGTCCTCTAGTGTGAAGTGAATTTATAACTGAAAAAAATAAACCCAGAATGCTGAAGGTAGGAAATTATCAAATAAAGTTTTAACACCAACCTTGATTGTGCCCTTGTTTCTACCAATCCTCCTCCTTCTAGCATTTCAGTGTAGGGCCACAAATCCTCACTAAAACATGCCAGAGAATACTCCTCATATAGATCTACCAACCACATGTGCTGGAGATTCCACTATGAGCCAGAAGCCATCTCACTTCATACTTTCTCATAGGGGCAGTAACAGAGACCAGCCTGTACCTTTTTCCTAATTACATAGATGGGCAGCAGATCCCACAATATCCTGTGCACCTTCACATGAACTTGAAATCCTCATGGAATGTACCTTGTATAGGCCACAGGTGTGGGAGAGTTATCGTTGTGCAAAGAGAGGCTATTGTTTCTAATTCACATATGCTATCGAGATGTAAGTTTCCTTTATGCAGCAACCGGTAGGTCTGTAGCCTTACAGAATTTGATGCTACATTGAGCTACTCAAGGTAGAAACGTATGTGTTGGTTTGGATTCTACTTAGGATCAGACTTAATGTTTGTGTCTGATGATAAAAATCCTTGGATGACAATGAGAAAGAAGAGGGGGAGAAAATTCCTTTTTATTTCCTAAAACATTAAGGACACAACATCAGTTGTTTTACTAATATAAAATCCATATTTAAATTTGCTAGTAACATCTTAGTGTTTTGGAACAGAAGACTAATAAAATGTTGGAAGCATACACTATTTTCAATGGTATGTTTTCCCTAAAAGAAAGTGAATGTTTTCGTTTTAGGAGTAATTAAGTTGGATTACTTCTCCCCTTTTGCGTAATGAATCATGTTCTCAGCAAACTGTCAAGCCTGGGAAACAACCATTTATGCTGAGTCTTACCAAAATTTGTTAGAAAAAAGTGTTATTCATGCAGCATAACCAAAATGTGAAAACAAAACATTTTCTTTATTGTGTTTATGGAAATATACTTATTCAGTTTATTTCTGTGCAGCATCTGGAGACCAGACGGCTCACATTTGGAGATATATGGTACAGTTGCCCATGCCTCAGCCAACATCAGACTGCAATGTAAGCAATAAACTTACACAAACTAAAAATTGATCCTAGGGCAACGTCATCCAATTTAGGTGGTATGATTACATGTAGAAGTGTAATAGACACTTTTATTTAAAGGGATATTTTCAACTCAAATTTGGCCCAAATGTTACATTTTTTGTAAAAAGACAATTATAAAACTCTGTGATCAATAGATTAATTTCTGTGGCCTTCCTTTAGTGCAGGGGTAGGCAACCTTTCAGAAGCAGTGTGCCGAGTCTTCATTTATTCTCTTTAATTTAAGGTTTCGCGTGCCGGTAATACA